TTGCATACGTGGTTGCGTACATGTCCACTGAGACCTCCGATCGCATTGCCAGTAATTTCTCACCTAAGTGCCACTCCCCGTCTGCGGACCAATCATTAGAGCGTATTTCCGAAGCTCGAGGAACAACTGCCCTTAAGGCCTCGTAAAATATAATTACTACTCTCAGCAGCAGCCTGACGTGCTTTAGTCTAGCCGCTGGGCTGTGAAAAATGTAAATGAAAAATGACTGAGCTGTTGTGTGCGTCATACTCGGACTATAGGGCAAATCATATTTTTTACACTGTCGGTAGAACTGCGTTTTAACTTCTGTGTCTCTGTTAATACTGAGGAGAGAAAAAATGTAATGCCAAAACTTTGTCGTCCTGAAATCGATCGAAGGCTATTGTTGGCATATATCCTAATTTATACAGGATTGCAATTTCATTGTTAGTCCCCATTATCGATAATGCCATAAAACATGAAACTTTTGTCCAAAGAATGTCACAAATTAGGCAATAACGACGTCTAGACGGCCGAGGTCTGGCATGGTCTGTCAAACAAATTTCCGCGGTCCAATTTCACTCAGTAGTTCTGTAGTCACTGCTTTGCCAGGTAGCCTCGAGTGCCTTTACGAAATCGGAATTAAAATGTCAGGTGAAAATTATTAATATTCAGAATTTAGCACGTAAAATTTTAGTTCCGCATTGCATTATTTTGAAACAATTTGCGGTCCTTCGAGTTATAATTTTTGATCAAATCGATAGATAGTTGAAAGTCTCCCATCATCATGCATTTCTTTGGGTTAGTAGAAGCTGTGAATTTCCGCGTTTACTTGCTTGCATTCCTATTATTTTGGTAAAAGGAATGCAAGACGAAGTATCTTGATTCACATAATCGTTTAACAAAGATTACCGTAAATAGATGAAACATTGAACAAGATATTTGAAGTTTAGACTTGGAATATTCTGTGTTAATAATCGCCCAGTAATGTTATATCAAATTAACATACCTATCTACTCAGTCAAGTTAGATACATCAAGTTAGCATACTCCTCTAATTTAATTAAATTAAGTAAGTTTTACTTCATCTTTATCGACTGATTTAAAATAATTAGGTTTAAAATTGCATGAGCCGAAATCAGGAATAGTGGTGAAAAACTCATAAATTGATAGGCAGCCTTTAATGCCTCGATCAGTGTATGCCTCACAGATTAACAGGCTGTAAGAGCTTTACAAAAATAAACTGCGTACAAACTGATTACGTTTATAATTTCAACTAACACTGAACGAACTCCATACGTTTATAATTTTAACTAACACTGTACGAACTCCATACCGTACGTTTATAATTTTAACTAACACTGTACGAACTGCGTACGTTTTTAATTTTAACTAACACTGTACGAACTGCAGACGTTTATATAATATAACACTGTCTTTACTTTGGCTTAAAAGTTAGGCCACGTGCGGTGCTTGCTAAAAAGTAAAGCTGTGACCGCTTCCATACCAAGTTGTCTTGTATCCTACATACGGCTCACAGCTGCTAGCGCCTATTCGGCTATACGGTTAGCATGGAGCTACCAATTACGTTTTTACCCGACGCTTCTTGCAGCCTTCGCACTGTAGCTTATGATTACACGATTGAAAACTTCTCACACGGATTTCAGAGTTACATCATGCAGGTTAGCTCAAACGTAATTGCTAATAAAAATTAAATGGGAAACGAGAATTAAAAACAGATTTCAGTTTGATTTCTGTTCCAATTATTTGTCAATAATTGATGTCATTAATTTGTGGGAAATAATTTCATTTATTCTTCTGATTACATATACCGTTCAAGATGATTCACTGCCATAAAGTTTTCAGTGTTTGATTCTATAGCTGAACACTACAAATGTGTAATGCTATAAAATGATGGCAATTGATAAATTTAATAGTTGAAACTTAAATCAAAATAAACTTCTAAAATCATTGCTTCGTTCAAGATGTTTGAAACGGTTCATAATAGTTACATGTTGCTTCTTGGAACATATCAGTTTTTCTTCAAGAAAACATTACGGATTGAGATGCTGATTATGATAATATTGAGGCAGTTCATAGAAATGAGCAAGATTGGTAGTCAGTTTTTTTTTCATCGAAACCTTCTTCTCCAACTGTTCGAAGAATCGCATTTGATTCCCCGAAACATTTATCCCTACTGAAATGGAGAACCTGCTGCTTTGTCGTATATGTCTTGCAGTCTTGGGTGCCGCAAAAAGTAGTTTACGACATGAAGGCGATCCGGACGACTTAATTTCAATATTAGGCCGCATTAGAGTCATTGAACTTGTGAAGGCATTCCCATCTTTTTATTGAAAGCAAATTAAAATATTTCAGTCCATAAAAGCCAGTTAATGTTGGCCACAACATCATGCGTGCAGTGAAAACAACGGGACATTGAATTTCCAAATTTCGAGTAATTTTGGAATCATGTTGCTTGTATTTAAAAAATGAAATTTGACCGATTAAGCTAATTGTGGCTAGCTAAATCTAACTTTAAATTGGTATATGGAGAAGATTATAGAAAAAATTAAAGGTTAAACTTATGGGGCATCAAATGGAAAAGCACAGTAAGATTGGCAAAGATTGATAACCTTGCTAGACTACAATAATTTGCTGGTAAGTTCAGGCTTTATTATCCTCTTAGTGAGTCATAACGTATTAAAATATGATATGTGTCATCCTGAACTGAAATAATTGCGTAGAAGCGACTAACGAAAAGATTACCTACTGTTTCATAGCAGGTACGGAAATTGATAAGAGCTATCTATCCCTCGGAATGCAGTAAACAATTCCATGAAAACCATGTATACGTCTTTGATGTAGATTCTTTATTAATTGATAATAACATAAATTCTCGTAAATATTTTATTAATTGGAAATCAAGTGATGAAAATAATAACTAATATCTGATGAGAACTAAATATACGCCGGAGTGAGTAATTCACTAGTGAAAGATTTATTTCGGTACAAATTTGGGGTAGAGCAGTGGTTCCCAGAGTGGGCGATATCGTCCCCCTAGGGGCGGTGGAAAGATTTTATAATAATATAAGTATGAGGAAGAAGAGGGCGATAGGGGGCGGTAGGGAGGGCGACAGTCCGAAGTCGAAGTCAGAAGTTCGAACGTTTGTTTGACGATTTAACACAACACGTGCAGCACATGACTCCCAGCGATGTTTTTTTCACACAGATCTGTTTTTTAACCTCTACAGAGCTTACGTCTCCGACAAATTTACGGCCGGTCTCACGGCCAATTTCCAAATTCAACGATCAAGAAATATCTCTCAAACTAATGAACGTAACTCGATGAAACTTGGTACACGTATTCATTAGGACCTAACAGTAATGTTTAGCTCGTGAACATTTTTTGAATTTTGCCTTCATTTGTGAGTTATATGGCAATACGTGCCGAAATCCACAGTGATCAAGGAATTTCATCCAAACTACTGAACATATTCGAACGAAAATTTGAATTTACAGTTCTAATTACCGAACGAGCTTGTGAAAATTTTTTCGATTTTGCCTTCGTTCGCGAGTTTTTTTTCATTTGACCTTCATTCGTGATTTAAACAGCAATACGTGCTTAAATTCGCAGTAATCAATAAATTTCTTCCAAGCTACTGAACAGATTTGAACGAAACTTAGTATATGAATACCTAACCTCAGCAACGGTGATGTTTAGCTCCATATAATTTTTTCTATTTAGCCTTCGTTCGCGAGTTATACGGCTATACGTACTATACGGCTATACGTATACGGCTATACGTTTACGGCTATACGTATACGCCTATACGCATACGGCTATACGTAAACGGCTCTTGGTTAAACCGGCCGGTAGAGAAGCCGGTCGTTTCTCCTATATCTGTATAACTCGACAACGAAAGAAAAATATAAAAATTGTCACGAGCTAAACATCACCGTTGGGAGGTTAGGTATTTAGATACAAAATTTCGTTGAAATCTGTTCAATAGTTTAGAAGAAATTTCTTGATCGCCGCGAATTTAAGTGACAAATTACCTGACGATGCGGGCCGAATATAAGGAAGTGAGAAATCAAGAATGACGGTGAAATGAAAAAAAAAAACTCGCAAACGAAGGCAAAATCGAAAATTTTTAAAAGTTTAACAAAAAATAAAATCACCGTTTGGTAGTTAGGACTAAAATTAAAATTTTCGTTCAAATCTGTTCAGTAGTTAGGAAAAAATTCTTTGATCACTGCGAATTTCGGCCTGTATCGCACTATAACTCACGAATGAAGGTGAAATTTAAAAAATTTTCACGAGCTAAACATCACCGTTAGGTTCTGATGAATACATGTTCCAAGTTTCATTGAGCTGCGTTGATTAGTTTGGGAGATATTCCTTGATCGTTGAATTTGGAGATTGGCTGTGAGACCAGTCACGAGTCCGGCCGTAAATTTGCCCGAGACGTCCTAGGTTTCTAGTGCTGAAACAGTTAAAACAGCTGAAAATCATATTGGTTTACTATATGGGGTTCTATTTGAGAAATACACATTTTTGTGTAACCTTTATTTTTTAAAATTGCAGCGTACTAAATTTAAAGAAAGAGGCGTATGTTTATGTATGTTTTTGTGGGGGGCGCTAGAAACTCACTAGGGAGCCAACGAGGGCGCCAGCCTGAAAAAGTTTGGGAACCACTTGGGTAGAGTCTTGTCAGACTCTTGGTCATGTCAGACCAACCGAGCATAACTATTGTATTATATTTTTTATTAGCCATATTATGTTCATCGAAAAATTATACATATTCATGCATATGTCACCATTATTTTCTATCAAACTTTGTACAGATTATGACCACAATTCAATTGCCTTTCAAACTCAGAATTTCTTCTTTCTTCGGACAAAAATGCCGCAGTCTTACTGTTCAAACTCTCATACTGTCTCCAATCTTTTTAAACAATTTCCCTATGTTTAAGTGCTTATTATGCCCTGCGGCCCCTCACCCTGCTTCCCCTAACGTGCAGGTTCTGGCCGCCATCTCTGTATCCATAGGTTCGATGGCTGTAGGCTTCACCGCCGGCTGGACATCACCCGCCCTAGAGTCTATGAAGGAGCCTAATTCCACCCTAGAAATCAACAGCGACCAGGAGTCTTGGGTAGGATCTCTCATGCCTCTCAGCGCTCTGGTCAGCAGCGTGGTCGGAGGATATCTTGTTGAGGCGATTGGTCGCAAGATGCTCATCTGCTTATGTGGGCCACCGTTCATTGTAGGTCGGTGTTAATAGAAGTATCAAGTATTAAAAGATGATTGACTCAAATCTGTAACAGGTTTAGAGATAATTCTTTTTCTGATACTGATTCAAACAATCAGCTTAGTTCAGTTAATGTTTTTGTATGTCTTTGGGTTACCGTGCTGGTATAAACATCGAATAACATACTATTGTGATCTCTGTTAACGATAATTTAACGGTAGGCTAGCGTTTAAAAAAAACAACATTGATATGTGTATATTATGCAGGAGGATATTGATGCTAATCATCTAGAGCAATGGTGCAGTGAATGATGCTTGGAGTCGCTGTTGTGATGGACTTCATTCGCTGAAGTTGTTCGTTTGTAGAGACGCTGAATTTAACCGGCTCTGACTTTTCACTAAAATGTCTTTTTGGAAACACAAATGAGTTATATTTGTTGCTAACTTTACAATGTTATTGCAGCGTACGTTCTAATGGGAGCTGCGAGAAACGTGTGGATGTTGTACGTCGGTCGGTGTCTTGCTGGCTTCTGCGTGGGTTTCCTGACGCTCACCTTGCCCGTCTACCTCGGCGAGACCATCCAGGCAGAGATCCGAGGCACGCTCGGTCTGCTGCCCACCACACTCGGCAACGGAGGTGAAAATTGGGTGTTGACAGAGTCAACGGTGGGGAAAATAGCATATTGAACGAGGTAATGGGGGTGAAAATTGGGTGACGACCGAGGCCACGGGGGTGAAAATTGGGTGTTGACAGTCAACAGTGGGGAAAATTTCATATTAAACGAGGTAAAGGGGTGAAAATTGGATGACGACCGAGGCAACGGGAGTGAAAATTTGTTGTCAACCTTGGCACCGGGGGTGAAAATTAGGTGTCGACCAAGGCCACGGGAGTGAAAATTGGGTGTCGAATTATGCAACGGGGGTTAAAATTGGGTGTTAACCGAGGCCACTGGGGTGGAAATTGGGTATCGACCGCGACAACGAGGGTGAAAATAGAGTATCTTAGGCGGATAAATTTCAGCTTAAAGCCTTGAAATAAGCGCAATTTTAGTTCATTAAATTATTGCCCTAAAATGAAGGTAAATTTAGTTCCTACATCCAACGCAAAGATAATTCAAGGTCTAGTTCGGTAATGGTAGTAATTGTAGTAATTTTTACCATGCAACGAAGGTAATTTTGATGTCAAGCTCAAAAACTAACGTAATTTTAGTGTTTAGCCCAACAACGAAGGTAATTATAGTGTAGAGCCCAACAATGAAGGTAATTTGTTAATTTTTTTTAGTACGGAAAATAAACAATTGTGATTTTTACGTTTATACTTGAATTAATACGAGTTTAAAAGTAGAAAACTTGTCTCACGAAATTCGGCAGTCATCGTAACTTGTGTTACTCGAAAGCTTTATTTCAGTCAATGGAAGGGATCAAACTTGCATGGTTCTTTAATCTCTTTTCTTATTCTGGGTCTAATTGTTGCCACACATAGATTCTAGACGGGGCTCTGAATGTAAAATTGACTCAGTTTGTAATATTACGTATAAAATATTTCATTCATGTTGGTTGTCTTGACTGTTGAAAGATTTCAACACCTCGTCTTGAGTTTGCCCAGGTGGCAAAAGCCCTTCTGGGAGCGGGAAAAATCGGCCTGCAAAATCAGTCGATCCTGGTTTAGTGGCGACTTTTTGCAAGATTGCCAAAATGTGACGAGAATTGCTGAAACTTGGCGTCAAAAAAGCGCGGCTCTGGCCGCGCAAAAATTGACCCCTCAATTTCTTCTAATCTCCTGATGAATCTTCAGTTCTGTTCCTCTCTGTCTCGGTCATTTTACTACTACTACTACTATACTACACTCTTCTGCGCAACTGCGCTGCAGTACCAATTAAAATATTCTATTATTCGACTACTATTTTTTGACGTGAATGAATAAAATCATAGAATTCTAAACCATCAGGTATTTTGGTTTGCTTCCTGGCGGGCGCCTACGTCGACTGGTCGACACTGGCGTACATTGGCACGGCGATCCCTGCAGTGTTCCTCATGTTGATGATCTTCGTACCAGAGACGCCGCGCTGGTATATTTCTAAAGGTGACAAAACCCTTAAATAAGTAGCATTAAAATATTATTGATTTCCATAATGTACATTTGAATAATTTTAACGATCTGGGAATCGAAATTCATTTAGACTTGTTTCTTCCCAACATGAACGCAAAGTAGCACAAAACAATATTTCTTCAAAACACTTCCTAAGGAAAATATTCAGGCAATATATCGAGTTGGGAAACTTCATGTATAGGCAAAATGTTGAATGGACTACGGTACCGAATGTGATGTAAATATGAAGAATAATATAGAAATTTATGACAAACAATCCACTGGCCTTTTTCTAACGCTAACCTCAAGTAGTCGAAATATGCGAAAAAAAAAACTTTTTTTTTCCTTTCATCATCTTGAATTATGCAAATGTGTGAAACGATCGATGCAACGGGCTAGTTAACTTTATCCGACCAGAAAAATTTGTGGAAAAAGTCGTGGAATAAGCGTATAGTTTACTTTTTTAGTACTTAAAACTTTCGCTACGAAACAAACTGTCATTCGATGCAGTCGTCTTATTTAAATTCATGCAATATCATTGAAATGAACTGAAATGTTGTGCTTAATTATTACCGTAATAATGAAATGATCTCAATGCAACCACTGATCTGCAGGCCGAGAAGAAGAAGCTTACCGGTCGCTGTGTTGGCTGCGCGGCACCAACGCTGATGTCGATGCGGAGCTGCAGGACATTTTGATGAACCACGAGATGTCAGCCTCTCAGTCCTCTTCTGTAAAAGAACTTTTCACCAAACAATACTTCAAACCTTTCGCCATCGCCTTGCTCCTCATGTCCTTCCAGCAACTCTCGGGCATTAACGCCGTCATCTTCTACTCTGTTTCCATCTTCAACTCGGTCGGCTCTACCCTGGACAGCAACGTGTGTAGTGTCATCATAGGCGTCGTTAATTTATTTTCAACATTTTTAGCCACGGCGCTCATTGACCGCTTAGGTCGCAAAATTCTGCTCTATATCTCCGACGGACTAATTGTTTTCTCTCTAATATCGCTGGCAATATTCTTCTACTTCAAACAATACGCGGAGACGGATGAAAGTTGGACAGAAACAATGGACAGTGTCTCATGGATCCCACTTGTTAACCTCATCTTGTACGTGTTGGGCTTCTCTTTGGGCTGGGGCCCGATCCCCTGGCTGTTCATGGGAGAAGCATTGCCGGCAAAAATTCGGGGACCTGCGGCCTCCTTGATAACTGCTTTTAATTGGGCCTGTACTTTTGCAATCACCAAGCTCTTCCCGGTGATGCTCGGTCTCTTGGGAGAGACAGGCGTGTTCTCCCTATTTGCAGCCATCATGGTACTAGGAACGATCTTCTCTGTTGTTATGGTACCAGAAACCAAAGGCTTGTCTCTGGAAGATATTGAAGCCATCATGATGGGCCGAACTAAACCTAGCATGAACAGAAAAATGAGTGAAGTTTCAGGAATAATAATGTCTTAATATTTGCCATTCTCTTATTGATATAATTTGAAGCCCTGATGCCGTCTGCATGGAGTACACGCTTTTTGTGTTGCACCAGTTACAATAGCGACATTAAATGTCTTCAATCTCAACTGCCGAATATCTTCATGTTGATTAGATACGTACGTATTTATTATCTTGAAAAGAATTAATTTCATAACGAAATCCACCTAATGGAGTTCGTCGACTTCCAAAACGCAATGACTATGGAGCTGCGTAGTTAGTTTTTCTGAAGCCTAAGTTCCCTCCGCTGATAGTAGCTATTTAACAGCGGAAAGTGTACATGTATGCATTTTGAGTGGAGTTTTCAATGCCTCGCGAAAAGGGATAATAGGGGCTATACTAGTTCCATGTCCGAAGTTGAATAGAACGTAAAAATTTCTGAAATTTTTGTATCCGCTTTCAGTGCATCAATGAATTGACTCGAGTCTAGTCTTTTCAATACTTCTCGGGAACCGTCGAAGAAAAATAATTTTTTTTGCTGTGTATAGCTTGCCCTCATATTGTAAATAAATTGTGAAGAATTGATTTACTATTATCATTGATTAACGGTACGAAATCTCTGTCATGAAATTGTGATAGGATTTTCTTACGATAAATCGGAGCGTGACCGCCTGAAGTTTGAAGTCTTGGTACTGGAAAATTCTGATGTTGAAATTATAGGTGTTGATTTAGCCGTTTCAGATGGAGAGTTGAGTTTCCACAACAATGCGCAGCTCGCAAACAATTTTTTAAACATTTAAGTTCTTATTATAATTTTATAATAATTAAGGATGCTATTAAAGCCACTTTTTAGTTAGTCTGAGTGTTATAGAACCTGCATTTATAGGACGTTATTCCTCATTTTTAATGTTTCGTACATACTTTGTTTGACGAGGAAACTTTATTTATGTATGGTTCCTGCAGATACTGTGAGTAACATATCAATCTACAGTGTTTAAAAATTATTATTTGTAACGGTCATTCAGTTATTCTTCATCTATCACTTCTTATATGAGTGTCTTGATGAGTTACAGCTCCCTTTTAGCGTTTAAATAGTAACATAATTCCTTCTCATAGCTCCCTCGTAGCGCTACAATAATTATACTCTTCTTACTCGATGGCAACCCTCGAGCATGGGCGATTTCATATGGGATCACTTCCACCTTATTTGTTATTATGTGTTTTTCATTGAGTCTGCATTTGCCTTATCTTCTTTTTATTCTACTACGAAAAGTTGCTGCTGAATTAAGCTCCAAATGTACTTTACTCCCATTTAATAGAGTATGAAGGTTATTCTCTGTCGATCGAACCATCGACGTTAAGAAGCCAGTGATGCATTTGTATAAGTCTGACCTTTCATCCCAGGCAAGTAATATGCAGAGAAACGTAGGTACGATACCATATACCTTTTCGTATATATGATAACTATCGTCATACAAGTTAAAACGGTAGCTAAATCTGCTTTATTTTGAAAGAAATAATTAATTATTATAAACTTTCGGCATATATCAAATTAAGTAAGTGTAATTACATAAATGTATTGAAGCTGATTAATACAATGCATTTAAGTAGCGAACTGAATAATTTGTGAATAACTGTGAAATAATGAAGTGCTCTCGCTAAAATACTTCAGTAATGATGTAACATATTCTTTGTCATAATGGATATATGGTAACCCATTGATTGATGTTATTTTTTTTCATTCAAAATTTGCCAGATTTCTATCGAATATTTTTCTTTCATTGCAAAACTGATTTGAGAAGAAGTTATTACTTATCATGACGGTAGGTAGAATATCAACAAACGATATTTATGATATCCTGTCCATAACTCCATATATATATTTGTACGGAAAACATATTACCAGTAAAGGAGCCTGCCATGACTGTTGTTTTCAATTTCTGATTTGTCTTCAATTATTTTGAATTCCTTCGGATAAACATATTTTCTAGGGATATTAGAGTACACTTTTAATATCACTAAAAAACTTTTTCAGTTGTTCGGGTAATATAATATAAGTGCATGTGAACCTCTGAATTAGCAGGAGCAGAATCACAGCCTTGGCTTTGGTTAAGTAAGAAGGTCGCGCATTCCGAAAAAAATTGAATTTGTCATATTGTTTAAATGGTGAAACACTTTCTGCAAGCTGCACTAATATGCCTTTTAACCGGCCTAAAGTAAGTCAGGATGACCTAAAATAGAGGGAAGAAGTGCATCGCTATTTGGATGAAGCCTCCCTAACTTATGACAGGATGCGGCGTAATTATGACAGGATACGGCGTAATTATGACAGGATACGGCGTAATTATGACAGGATACGGCGTAATTATGACAAGATGCTGCTGCCAATCATGTTACTATTATTGCAAGTTTTCATTGACGAAGATGAATTTCTTAGATATTTTCTACTTCTGTATTCTAGACCAAAAAATTTATTTGCCGTCCAGTTGGAATGACATCTTAGAAAGTCAGATTTTCGTCCGGTTTCAGTCGGAATGATATCTAAAAAAGTCAGTTTTTTACCTGCCGAATTCCCATTTCAAGCCGCATCACTGAAATTAACGGCCTTGACAATCCTGTGCGTCATTACAATGGATTGCATGCGCCTGGAAATTCTGGTTCGAATTGCAATAATTGCCAATTGATTGCAGATAGCTCAGAGACAGGTTCCGGCAAAAAATACGCAGGCCCGATAGCAAATTCAATAAATGTAACTGACATTCTATCTTCGATCTCATGTGAAGCTTGAAGCTGGTTGACATCAAATTGAAATTTCTTTTTAAGTACAACTTCTAATGCGTATTATTTCAAATTCCCCGTAAATGTGCATAAAGAAAATTAACAAACATTATAAATGTTTATTCCGAGAACTGGACTTACTGATTTGTTTTGGTACCTCATCTCTGATAAAAGTAAACGCAGTGATATAAGAAGGACCCAATGAAAATCATCTAAATATGTCTTGCTTTCTTTTTAATCCGGTAAGTGATGCAACAACATAGAATATCTGATTGAAAATGATGGGATATATTAAAATTACAGATTATATGCAATCAATTACATTGAAAGGAGATTAAATTTTTCAATGATGTTATCATATTTTATTAGGTTCGAAGTACATCTATATCACGATAAAAAAAATAGTTCACAGTGCTACCAGCAAAGCTTGAGTGAAGGAGGTAGTGTAGCGAATGACTGAATAATTATTAGATCAACAGCGGTCTATCATTTCGATTGATGAGGTCAATCTGGCAGACGTCGCAGGCTTGATCGAAGCGACAATTGATAACTCCAGGGCAATCAACGAGTTTGAAACGAGTTCAATAATTGAATAGTAACAAATGCGCAGTCTCATGCGGGTTGTTTTCAGTTGATATTTAAGATTAATATCAAGCAGTAAAAGGAACTTTGGTGTCATGTTCAATGTAATTGGTGTGTGAAAATTCTGGGTACAAATTTCGAAACATTTTTCTCCACAGGTGTATAATGACCTGAGTTTGTGTTCAAAATATTTTAAGGTATATTCAAAACGAACTGCTGCTTCTGCTGACCTTAGGGCAAAATTAAAAATTATTAAGAAAATGATTAGTCTTCAAGTTGTTTGCCTCGGCTTCAGTTTGTTGTGCCTCCAACATCAAAGAATTAGATTTTTAACGAAAATGTTCAACTAACAGAGTTGAAACAACCAAGTGACAACGAACAAAGTTCATGAGTGACGCTCCTCCCAAACTCATGCACTTACACTTCACAAAAAATTTTACAATAAATACCAATTTGTTTACGTCATCAATTATGCTTTGTAATTCCTTGATAATCACCATAACATATATTGATGCTCTAGCTCCTGAAGGATGTCACTAAGACGTTAATTCTCCTTTTGAATTATCGATACTGACTTGATAGAAATTTGAGTGCTTACTCATTGATGTCTTAGTTACCGTCATTCGCTAGTGCCTAAGTAATATTTAAGCGTTTCTGGTCATCAATATTTAAATCTAATTATCTGAACTTCATCCGTATAGTTAAATTTTTTTCGGGGGAGTATTGTTATTACTGGCCAATAAATATTACCAGTAAGTCAATATCTTAAAAATGTCCAAGCAAATTAGAAAAAAAAACTTGGAGCCAAGAACTCGTTGGTCGCTCCTCGTTTTGCGTTTAAATTGCAATGAATGTATTAATGGAGTCCAAAACTGGACCGATTAATCTCAGCATAGTTTCATTTATCAAGACCAAAACTTGAGCGATTGACCTCGTCAAAGTTCCGCTTGTGGAGTCCGAAGCTAGACCGATTGATTTCGTCAAAGTTTCGTTTGTCAAGTCCGAAGCTAGAGCGATTGATTTCGTCAAAGTTTCGTTTATCAAGTCCGAAGCTAGAACGATTGATTTCGTCAAAGTTTCGTTTGTCAAGTCCGAAGCTAGAGCGATTGATTTCGTCAAAGTTTCGTTTGTCAAGTCCGAAGCTTGACCGGTTGATTTCGTCAAAATTCTTCTTGGTCAGACGTCGCGAGTCTAAGAACGAAAAAAGTCTGTACAAAAAATTCGGTGAATGTGAGCTTCGTCGAATCGCCTGGAGGTTGAAATCGTTGGGACTGTAAAGGCCGAAGCTGGAGCGGTTGATTTCGTCGAAGTTTCGTTTATCAAGGCCGAAACTGGAGCGGTTGATTTCATCGAAGTTTCGTTTATCAAGGCCGAAGCTGGAGCGGTTGATTTCATCGAAGTTTCGTTTGTCTAGGCCGAAACTGGAGCGGTTGATTTCATCGAAGTTTCGTTTGTCTAGGCCGAAGCTGGAACGATTAATTTCGTCGAAATTGCGCTTGTTGAGTCCAGAACTTGATTGGTTTATTCCGTCAGAGTTCCTCTTTGAAGTCCCAAAGCCGTTCCTGAAACGAAAAAAAAAAACAAATAAAGATTAGCTGATTTCCCAAATTTTGATTTATTGATAAACTGCGCAATACTATAATTGTGCAATGTCAGAATCGGGAACGTATGCTTTATGTTACGGGTTTAAATATGCCACTGAATCACAACATTGCGTTTATTTAGAATTAATCTTGGATAACGACATTTTGATCTTTTCATAAACCAAATTTATTAATAAATTATCGTTTCGCTTACAAATATAATCCCGCATAACTCGAAATACCAAATGCCTAGGTACAGGCTTGTGCGCTCGTGGTAATAACTATGAAGTACATGAATTTCTCGTGTGAATAAATTCATAACTTTGTTTGTAACGATGATTCAATTTTAGGACCATATGCAGCGCCACGGTGTCACGCACATTGCACAAGCTCCCACATTTGTGCGCGAGATTGCAATTCGAGAAACTAACAATTGCTGGAATGGTTATTGGCAGATAAATGTCACAACAAATACGAATTGGTATGAAGCTCGTGGGTGTAAATGCACGATTTAGTTTAGCAATTTCATGAAGTTTGTGTATTATAAATTGTTGTCAACCGGTAAGAATCCAGATGCGATTAAAGACGTAATTCTCACGTACATCTCTAGAGAGGTAAATAGTTATTTGAATGCAATCTGTATTTTTTTATTAAAAATTATTTTATTGGATAATTTTTCATGATCTTGAAAATTAATTTCGATCGTTCCATTACACTCATTTAAATATGTTAAAATTAAATCCCAAAACATTCAGAATCAAGCCGGGAAGTCTTAGACTCAGGGAGCTCAATTTTTAGGCCATCATTGGGTGATAATACTTGTTGGAGTGGTAAGTAAGAAAACAATAAGATAGCATGACGAGTGAACAATAAGATAGCATGACGAGTGAACAATAAGTTATCACGACGAGTGAACAATAAGATAGCATGACGAGTGAACAATAAGATATCATGACGGGTGAACAATAAGATATCATGACGAGTGAACAATAAGATATCATGACGAATGAACAATAAGAAGTGAACAATAAGATATCATGACGGGTGAACAATAAGATATCATGACGGGTGAACAATAAGATATCATGACTAGCAAACAATAACATAGCATGACGAGTTAACAATAAGATAACCTGACTAGCGAACGATAAGATAACATGAGAAGTTAAGTATAGCATAGTATAGTATCTTCGGCGATGAAGAATAGGCCTGGATAGGCCGGTCGTCAATTCTTGCTGACATTAAGATGTCAAGACGAGCTAACATTATGCTAACATAACGAGTTAACATTAAGATATCATGAAGAGTGAACAGCAAGTTAGCATTACAAGTGAACAATATGATAGCATGACGATGAGAATTAAAATGGCATGACGAGTGACAATTAAGATATCAGCCTTTAAACTCACATGAAAGCGTCGAAGCGTTTGGGCCGTTCATCTTCGCCCTCTGTAAACACGGAAATAATTGATTAATAAAACTGTACAAGTATTGCTAATTGATGATAGTTTTGTACATTTTTTCGCTTTTAATAGATCCTTTTGTGTTTGAAAAGTTGGAGTGTTCTTACATTCCAGATACTTGACGTGTTGTCGGACAATTTTATTTCAAAAATCTTGATCATTCTGTTACTGTCTCACTATCTGTTAGGATGATACGCACATTATTAAATAATTTGATATTTCAATTTCTAGTTTCTCAGTTTGTTTAAAAATGTAAAAGAATGATAAGAGAAAATATCCCTTTAGTTCATGGAAGGTTAATAGAAGTGTGTACGCGTTCTCCACTGACAAAAATCAACTTAGAAAATGTGAAACCCAATTATGAAAAGTTTTAGATTTCATGAAAATTGATTGCGAAAACACGTAGTTTGTTTGAAATCTTAGTAGATTTTACCACTCAAGTTTCAATTAGCAATAAATTTTGCTCCGCTGGTGACCCAATTATGAAGTTTTGTGGTAATTCATGTCGAAAATAATCCTACTTTTGAAGCCAAAACTTTCAGCCAAGCTGTGGGCTAGAAAACTATCATCTGGTACCGGTTATAATACGTAATAAATAACAAACATCCGAAACCATGGGAAGAGGCTCTTCCTTTACAGTATCTTTGAATTTTGAACCGAGAATTTTGAAGTCTCTCACGAATCTTTTTGAACATACGAGGGATTTATTGTTTTTTTTTAGAATGATTCAAGCTCAAAGGCCTGCCTACGAAAAATAATCGAAAAACAACTCAAAATTCAGAAGTCTTAAGATACAACACTTGGAACAAAATTTTTAAAGCGAACTTTTTGCCCCAAAAGCTTAGCCAACACAAATGTGTTTTGGTACAGGAAGAAAGAAACATGAGGTCATATGATTCAATTTATCAACACACGGAACTCCTCTTCGTCAGTTGATAAAATTAATTTTGAATTGTTAAAAAGTAAGTCATGAGGTTTGGAGGAGAGTCTTACCTTGAGCTTAAAAGCACAAGGTAAATCTTAGGTTAAAAATAAAGAAAAAATCGTGTTAACTATAAAAAGCTAGCTCTCTCCTCCCGTAAATGTGTAGGCGGTTACATTTGAGGTGATACATTTCTATCTATCTAAGGTGATACATTTTTCAAGACGGCGCATCACTAGCATCTACCGTACACACTAAAACACTTCAATCTGCAATAAACGTCTCACTATACTCAACTTAGATCAGCGTAGATTTCCTGACTAAGCTCTTGACTAATCTCTCGTCTTGATATAGCTCACTAGAAATCGCTATTTCTAGAAAATTTTAAAATAGTAGTTATTCCGCCATTATGATATTGGTGTCTTTTCTCAGCTCCCGATGAAGTTACAATGGTCACAATATTCTGTTTTAATGCTGTTTAAACGCGGAAGTCGTAATGTCTGATTCTCTCCAAGCTTGCTTTGCATTAGCAATGGAGAAAACTTGAAAGTTACAATCCTTTGAAGACCTTACATGGATGTTCACGTTTTCCATCACGACTCAAATTTAGTTTTAGTTATTGCTATGGTCACAATATTCAGTTTTAATACTGTCTAACGCAGTCATCTTAATGTCTGATTCTCTGTAAGCTTCCCCAGAAATAGCCATGGAGGGAGCCAGCAGGTTAACATCAGTCTAGGACCTGACATGGAAGGTCAAGTCTCTCATCACGACAAGCCGTCGAAGGCACACGTCACGTGGAGGTCGCGGACAGCTTTCAAGATTCAGGTCACGAAGATGACGACAGTTTAATCTTAAATAGATTGAACTGAATTTGAATCAATAAAACACTTTGCGTCTTTATTTCTAAATAAAAATTGAAAACATGCATGAATAATATTGAAATCTATAACAGCTTGATGCTCAGAAGGAATATTTCCTAAAAAATGACAGCCTGATCGAGCAGAAACTTCAATATTTAATAAATAAAAATTCTAGAAGAATTTGAATAATGATAATTGTCAATAATTTTATCTATATTCTAAAATGTAGGTTTAAATATTAGCAGACAAATATAAACAATATATAATGACGGAAACTATACCGATATATGTACATGCGTGAATGTTCGTCATAAATAATGATAATAAATATCACTCCGGTATCTGTAGTTGGGTTGCTGTATCAATTCGTCGAGCTAAAATTCCCGCAATATTTTTTGTTATTAATTGATGATATAATTTCATCAGTTTCATGGTGAATTGCAAAAGATATTTTTTTCTGCTCACCAGAATGCAGGAGCTGTAGCAGGTGCTGTGCCGGCGCTGGAGTCTCGACAGGTTGCTCGCGCTCCTCCTGCAACTAACGTCATTAGAAAATTAATTGAGGATTTTGAGGTTTACATTTGAGTTCAGAATCTTTTTCCCAGTCAACAGTCCAATTAGCAATTAAATTTGCTGAAACATTAAATTCCGATGATTTGATTTAGTTTAAATTTGTTTATTTCTTTCATGAATACATTTAAATTCTTGTATTTTAAAAAATTAATTTGAGATTAATTTAGAGTATAAAAAATATATTTTATTTGACCATCTTGTGCCCAAGATGAAATTATATTCGCAGATTCCTAATTTTTCACGTTCTTGTGGCATGGACAAAAAGACATAGACATTATTATCAAGGTGAAATATTTTGAAAAAAAGTGGAATTGGGTATATACGTATATTACTTGTATTTTTTCATTTAATTTTTTTATGATGTTACTTTGGATACTTTGTTCAAGGAGGCGACCAAACTAAAGGATCCTGAATATTTCAAATTCCAAGTATTGTTTGCAGATTGGTTTGTATCATGAGGCCATAATGTAGCAAGAACTGTCAATTTTTCCGGGTTCCATCTTCAGAAAATGGGTGAAATGAGTCTGGAGCATCGTTGAGAATCGAGGGGAACTTTGTTGAAAATGCGTACCTGTTGGCATACATTTTGAAAATTATTTGCGCAGATAGGAAATTGGTTACTTCATGTTTTATCCCTAAATTTTGACAGTGATAAAAAATTTTTTCAGAAGCTACCTTTCTTCATCATCTAGATTATTAAATTTTTTCAGCGATTATTTCGATGAATATGTGATGGTAAAGTAAGTGATGGTCTGGTATTTCCCTAAAAATTAAATGAATAAAGATTCAGTAATGATAATCGAAAACAAAAATTGCGCAGTTAAGTCAAAAAGAGAGCTGCACAATGGAGACCTTCACAAGTGAAGTACAGCCACGATCCGCTTATGCGATTAACTTCAGTAATGCTGAATCTTCGAACTTTATTTGCAGAGCTTAAATAGATGAGTTGATGAATCTTCTTTCCGCTGAAATATTTTATCAAATCAAATGAACAAAAATATGAGAAGACGCTAACAAATTTTCAAGAAAAACTGTAAATTTGAATTAGTGAAGCACTTGACTACGAGCGCTTGCAGTGAAGGGAGTAGCAAGAGAATGTCGCGGCAACCATCATAAATTAATTGGAATGGTTATAGCTGGATTCGTATCGATTAAAGTTCGAGTACGTAGTTATCTGTGGTGCGTAAATATTAATGAAGTTTAAACGTTGGATTTACAAATTTAAATTCTTCTTGTATAGTTTAGTCCCGAAATTGATTCGAAAGTTCTTTTGCTAGCATATGCTCTGGATTACAACAACTTCCTCGATCCATTCTTCAAAGAAGTTTGTGCCCCTGCATAATTCCAGAAGGGTTAAACGCATGTCCACTGAAATTCACATTTCCGCTTCGGGGAATGGTTATAGTCCAAAGGTAGGCTCTGGGTAAATAGTTCATTGCCTCGTTTGAATGGCCTTTGCACTGTTATGCCATCGAATAATATTGTATTCATGGCAACACAATGATATTGTTCTTGCATGAGATATGCAGTGCATTGAGGCTCCATCAATGTATGTCTTTGCAGAACAAAGAGGAACAACGTCTCCGAATCTGTGGATTGATGACAAATTCAGAGCTCTAGTTATGTTTTAGAATCTGTTTAAGACGTTTGGTACACTCAATATGAGTTGAAATAATAAATTAATGAATTTTAGACAGCAGATGTAAGGCGAAAATGTTCAGTTAAAATAATGCAACTATAAGCGATCGCAAATACGATCATTTTCTGTTTTTTGTGACTGAAATTTAATGTGTCTTTTAAAATTCGGATTGAAAATTCTTCAGTTGGAAGTGATTAAACTTGAAAATAAATCTATTACAATGTCTGGTTGAATTTATATTTTATAACTTGATCAACCAGTAAGATGTGTTTGAAATAGGCCTTTCACAGGCATGCAGGTGCAACTAACCTCGACCTTCGAGCAAACGACCTCAGTGACTTGTGCAGGCTTGTGGAATTTATTTCAAATATTTTACAGTGTTGACAAAGAGAATAAGGAAACTTTGGTGCAGGAAGCATGCTTATTAAAAGAAATTAGTGTGATATTCCATCACATTAGCGTGTGAGTCGTAACAATCGACTAAGCAACAAAGAAGAAAAAGGTCAGCCTGATACTGTGACCTGCGTGTAATGATAACATTACGCCAGCTAGCTTCACGATGCTGGTTGAACGATCATGTCCGCTAAAACAACAAGAGAAGTTTTTATATTCATATAATTCATCATTTCATACATCAATTTATAAATTTTTAACGAAATATCACACATTTAGGAGAAGACTACAAATTACAAAGTTTCAAATGAACGACATTTTCGACAATATCGATGATTGGCCGTCAATTAATTGTTTCCGTCACGCTTCGAAAGTTTAGGCTAAAATGTTTAAACTTTTACAATTCTGAACAAAATAATTATTGATCGAAGCAAATATTAGACGAATTTAAATAAATAAAATGCAATATTAGCACATATTGCGAAATTTAATGGAAAAATTATAGAAAAGTAACGACGAAGAATTATGTTTAATAATAATGATGAATAATAGAAAAATGATTTGTTCTAACTGTATTGGTTCCTTGGCTGCGGTTTTTTTTTTGACACACGTGCAAAGTTTGTTTATGAGATCAATTAAATTAGATTTCTAGCGTAACATCTTTACTTCAATAAACGATGAATTTATTCCTCACAATCGTTACCTCTGATCACACAAATTCTCCAGAATATTTTAGTGTCCACGAAAGTGAAACAACTTTCATCTAGAATTCAAGGCTCATGGATTTACCGCCGCAGCAATGCAACAATACGGCCCCTGAGCGGCTTTTCCGTGCTAGCTTGTCGTGAATCTTTTAATTTTTAAGCCTCTTCTTTCCAAGTTTACATTGAATAAATCTTGTGTTGGGTTTGATGTCCAGCTCCAATTTTAATGGGCTACGTTGTTGGGAATAAAAACATCATAATGATTTCGATCAAGATTTTCACAGAAATAGAAATTGGAATTGCAAAATTCTGCATTTCAATACTCCAGTTATTTTACTGATTTCACTAGCCAAATCAATCTATTATAAAATATTTACTCCTATTCTAGTATAGATTAAACATAAATACTAAATGTTAACGAAAGCTCCTGGAAATTCAAATCAGGTTTCCGGAGTCCTCGTTCGATGAGAAAATTCGAAGCGGTTCACAGCATGTGATGATAGCGATGCTGCATAGTTAAATTACTCGGTGAAAGTTCTCAAAGCGGAGCGCGGCATAGCGGTGCATCCGCTGCTATGTTATGTCGACAGCTGGAAAGCAGCATGGATGACATGAACAATTTAAACATGCACATATCTGTGAACAATTCAATTTAGGAAATTCATTAAAATAACTTACTTTTGATTTTTGAATCATATATATCGAGCCGCTGCAAACCTCCAAACGGGGGAATCAAAAATCAAATTTAAATGCGAGGAAATTTCTTACATTTGCACGTGAATTTTATAATGCCTTCTAAAAATGCTTTTAGTATGTTTGACGCCCATAATTAAGGAAGTTTTCCAGTGGCATAGCAACATTAAACATCCTAATGTGTCCACTAATCATAATGTTACTGTAGGCTGCAATTTTAAAATTTTCAGTGGCTCGTTATTTTTTGTTGATAAATATTTTACGCATATTCTTGCAATTATTATTATAACAGAGAATATTGCCGATCTAATCAATATTAAGTATATCTCTCAACTGTCTCTCAACTGAACTCTTTAGGGCTCATTTTCATAGGATGGTAGGCGATTTGATGCCTGAAGGTTAGCGGTAACCTGCCAACATGTCATTAGAGTTAATAAATACCTATGACACTGTTTATTATTGTTACTGTATCCGGTTCAGAATATTACTGGTTTGATTACATCGTTCACTTTAACTTAAATAAAAAATATTGCAAAACTAACTGCGTTTAAACGTCTTTTAGGTTTAACCTTTTAAATTTAACGAAAAACCTGATAAAGGATTGTTTGTTGAGATTTTCCATGCAACATATTTGGCGTCTTATACTACTATAATCAAGACTATACATGGCTAATGATTACTACTGCCGGTTATATACGGATTGTGACAATTAATATAATTAATATATGGGTTGTATGCCAACATATAACGACTTGCAGCAATCAATGCCACTCGATTGCTTGAATTATCAATATTCTAGAATTATCGAACTAACGTCGGAGATGGACTCCTAAACGTTCTCCATAAAGATATGATGAATTTTCGTTGCTTTGAAATTTCCAGTGAACCTATTGCAAATATTAAATGCCTAGCTCAACTAATCGAACCAAAAACTTATTCATACAGAAAATCAAAATTTATTCACATTTTTATCGTTTAAGCTAGTATTTAATGAGCATTTTTCTGAATCAAAAAATTCATAAATCATATGACTAAATTTAAAAACAAAGTTGACCTGGAAAGATACAGCATATTTCAAGCTCATGCACAAATTTATTAACATTCATATTATTTATCTCAATTTCATAAGCCTAAACTGTCAATAATGCTAACAATACGGGAACATCAATTTTCCGAGCATCGAAAAAAAGTAAATTAAACGTTAGGAGTAGTTTCCTAAGACTTTTAGTCCATTTAATGCAACGGTTCGCATTCGTGCTCAGGCTTGCCTGTGCGTGTTCACGACTCAATCCATCATAAAAAACATATACAAAGCAGAAAATTTCAAGCCATATACTACCAAAGTAATAACATTACAAACACGAGCATCATCCTTTGTAAATGAAATAAGAACATGAAATGTAAGAGTTGAGTAAAATTGAATTTTTCAGAGCGTTATATTAAATTATTTTAACGATTGGACAATTGCATGCTATTTGGAAAAAACGCCTTGTGAAGGATGTTCCACTAATGTTTCAAATAAAAAAGCTTTAATTG